GTTGTGTTTATTTTGAAAACTCTGGGTCTCGTTTTCTTTTGGAAAACAACCATTTCTTCCCCACCTCCAACCTGACCCTGTCCCACACCTTTCCTTTCTGTCATATCTATGTGATCTACGCACATTTCACCACCGCCTCCCTTGTCTCATAAACGGTGGCGTTAGCTTAAACCCTTCACCACCTCTGCTCCACCAGCTTTCTATTGGATGTTGATCTTCCTGTTTTTTCTATTACAGTTCTTTTATTTACAAGATACTTTTCAAAGCTATTTTCAAAAGACGTTTGCAGATGGAGAATTTATTTACCCAGAGAGTCATACTAGTCTTCATCTTCTTGAAGGCAACTCAACTGGCAATTTCTTTAAGTAATTCATTTTGAATTTTTACTGTTTTTTCTCATTGTAGAATGAAATCTGACATTTTGCAGCAGATCAAATGTTTGCAAGAATTTCTTTTATAATTCGGCCATATTAGTGCAAACTTATCTCTCACTCACGGACTTCTCCCTGCGATGAAAACTAAAACGTCTGTTTAACTTGTCTGTTAACGTCACTAGTGCATTTCCACCGCGTCGGTCTCCTTAAGATAAAGAACATTAATTGTCCAGAATGAAAGCAGATAGACTCTGCATTCAAAGACTGGATCATGTAGCACCAGGCTAATTCCTAATCCAAGGGTGGCTAATGCCAAATTCCTAAATCCCAGTGCCTAATCCTAATGCTAACCATAAAAGTGCAGAGTCAATATATCTCTTTTCAGATAACGTTTTTTTTTTTTAATCGCAGGAATAGTGTTCTCGGAGAATAATTCTGCGGTCAACAAAGTCCGAGGTTCGGTGCTGCCCTTCTTGTGGCGGCAAAGCTGGTGTTGTCTCTAGATGCAGCTTTACTTAGCAGCTTGTTGTATCTATATTTTCTGTCATTTTTGGGGGGTGGGCCGTGTTGTCGTTGACAGAAGGTTGGATGTTGCCACATTGAGGATAAACTGAGGAAACTGTGACGAGGTGACAGCTGCACGCGACGAACGACGGTGGTTGCTCATTTTCATGAATTGAAATTAAAAATCTAAAACTTTTTGCTCGAAATTTTTGTTCCCAGGATGTGTTTGAATCTGTCGGGTGAGCAAGATCATCATCATCCAGCCTCACAAGTGTGACATATAAAAATGCTGATTACGCAACATAATTATTGTCACAATAAAAGTCCACTTTAACAATGTGCAGTTTTATTTTGAAAAACCACATTTAATCTGATTGTCTGTTTCCGGTATTTGAACAGGGGAAGTCTGAACGGTCTTGTGGGATTTTCAAAACTTTTGAGTGAGCGATGACGACGGTGAAGCTGAACAGATCTGAGGTTTCAATTTTTTCCTTCAAAAAGCCAAAACGCGTGTTCATGTTACTGCTCTGGAAACTTGTTAGTCAATAAAAATAAAAAAAGTCACAACAGACTTTGTATTTCCAGTCGGACACGCGACCGTCCCCACCCAAGGCCTAACCGCCTGGCGTCGGAGAACATGAAATGCTCTCTCTCTGATGAAGCTGTGTCAGTAGGAAGCGTCTTACTGTCCTCTCCCCTGTGGATAGATTATCTTCTCTGCTTTCTGCTTTTCCAAGCTCGTCTCACATTTCCTCTTTTCTTCTTTTCTGGTCTTGTCTCTTCTTCTCCTCCTTCTCTCCTCCTCTTCTCCCGTCTCATCACCTCCCTTCCTTCCTTCCTTCTCCTCTAGTTTTCCCCTTCTCTCCTCTCCTTTCTTTTCCTTGTTTCCTCTCCTCTTGTTTCCTCTCCTCGTTTCCTCTCCTTGTGTTTCGTTCCCTCTCCTCTTGTTTCCTCTCCTCTCCTCTTGTTTCGTCTCTCTGTCTGATGGAGCTTTAAACTGATGAAGACTGAGACGAGAGACGAGGAAGAGGAGTCGTTTATTTAGAGTGGAGTGTCCTCAACTGAAGAACCACCTCTAACAAATCCAAAATGCTTGAACAGGTCGCTATGGTTACTGAATTCATCCAAAATTGACCCAGAAACCAAAAGTGAATTAGATGCAAAAGCAGATTGTAAAAAACTGTTTTCTAAACACCGTCACCTTCAGCTTCCACCTGCCGAGTTTGAAGCTCCATGATTGGCTGTTTGTTAGTGAAATGCACCCTGGGAGTTGTAGTTGTGTCCAGCAGCTCATTTTTTGGAGCAAATATGCAAAATGACTTTGGAGAGGTGGCGTTGCTCAGTGATAGCAGCTGATTGGACACGTGGTCAGTCTGGTCACGTGACGTTGTATTAACGAGCTCAGTAAAGCTTCGCCACAACAGACTGGCTTCATACTGTCCTCTCACACATTGTTATTGTAAAAAAACAGAAAGTCTCAGTCCTGGTTAAATGTCACAGTCTGGATTTCAGCAGGTCACATGACTCTAATTACCACAGCTCTCATTGGTTTACACACGTTGTGTCTCTCAGTGATAAGTTCAATGTTTCCACTGCTCACAGACTTTCAAGTCTGTAAACAGTTAACTACTTTTGGAAGCCGCTTTGCACACACACACACACACACACACACACACACACACACACACACACACACACACACACACACACACACATCTATATTCACAAACACTCTGTCACGCCTAGCCTTTCCCTCCAATCAATTTGCGACACTCTTGTCTGAAACATACTTTAATGTTCCAGTGCTCTTTCTTCTGCCACTGCTATTTAACACACTTCTATATTATCCTCTTATCTCCCCCTCCCTCCACAAGCCCCCACCCCCCTTCCCTCCCCCCTCCTTCCCCCCCTTCTTGTTTCGCCTTTATCTGCTCGGAGCATTCAGAGCCTCTCCGACTCTGGATCTTCATCTCATGCTTTCAGATTGCAGTAGACAGGTGATTTGAGAGACGCTGCAAAGGCTTTAACAAACAGCACTGCAGAGAAACCACCATGCACGATAACACACACACACACACACACACACACACACACACACACACACACACACACACACACACACACACACGTCCAGCCCTGCCATGACTCATGTACATGTGTGAGCATACGTGTGGAGATTGATGTCATGTTTTCTGACAGAGTTATAGCTCAGATATTGGAAATAATTGAAATGTTTCACACCACCTGCACTGCCACACTCTCTGCATGTGTGTGTGTGTGTGTGTGTGTGTGAGAGAGAGAGACATGGAGAGAGAAAGAGAGAGAGAGAGAGAGAAAGTGCTTTTGAAGTTGCATTGGTTGCAGCTCTCCTGCTTTGACCATGTTTGTACTTGTGTTGTGTTAATCTGAGAGAGCAGAACCCAATTTACAGAGCTGCGAGTCTATTTCACAGCTGTTTGACCACGCACGCACACACACACACACACACACACACACACACACACACACACACACACACACACACACAGAAAGTGTAAATGACGATGTATTGCTCGGGGCTTCTGACATTTAAACACTCCTCAGAAACATGTGTGAAGCCGACACAGGACACAGTCAGAGAAAGAGTGTGTGTGTGTGTGTGTGTGTGTGTGCGTGTGTGTGTGTGTTGTTGTTGTTGCGGCAGGTCTAATGTGGTATGACCAATCAGAGCGCTGCGGATGGAGCGATGGAGAGAGAGGACGAGACAGGTGAAGGAGTGAAACGCAGTGAAGCATCTTTAGGTTCAATCAATGCATCAGTACGTATAAGTTGTGTGTGTGTGTGTGTGTGTGTGTGTTGTGTGTGTGTTGTGTGTGTATTGTGATGTGGTGTGTGTGTGTGTGTGTGTGTGTGTGTGTGTGTGTGTGTGTGGGTGAAAATAAACTTTAAAGTAATAATTATAATTATAAGAAACAGGTTCATTAATGTAACTGTTGTATAATTGATCTGTGAAGATCTAACTGCCTTTTAGTCTCTGGGTCAAATTCTACAAACACTGGATCCTACATTTCCCATGATGCAACTCCACTGTGTCACTTCAGTAGAACCTCCTCCCTCCCAGTGTGTAACACAATGTATATGGAAGTTAAGTTGTTGTTTCTGTTGTTCTGTAGTTTGTTTATTTTGTTTTTGTTTCTTTTCTAATATTTGTGTTTATTCAGTCATTTTTGCTTTTGTTTTTCTTTCTGTTGTAAAAATGTTTGAGTCGTGAAAATATCATTAAATCAACAACGACTCCTGACTGACCATCAACCCTCTGATACGACCCGCAGCAGTGTGGACCTTGATGGTTACAACAACAACAACAACAACAACAACAACAACAACGAACGCTCATGGATGATAGAAACAACACGGGAATCGAACACACGGCTCTCCTGTCACATCCACCTCCTCCTCCTGACGTGGACTCTGTCTCTCTTTATTCTACGTCACCGACACTTTCCCCTTCGCTTCCTGTCATCATCACTACGACCACTAGATGTCGCCTAGCAACAAAACCTGACTATGATGTCATAACAACTTGCCGCACAGACGACCTGCGGGCTCGTCTCAGAAGTTTAGAGCCACAAAACAACATTACACAGCTGTTTCCAGGGGTTCATTTAACAGCCGACAAATATGCTCACATTTCTATATATGTGACGATAATAATATAATAGAGGCCTGGACCATGTGACTTCCAGGCCTCGACTGTTTAATGGAGAAATGAAGAAGGTTATCCCTCTGCCCTTTAAATAATGAGGAGCGTGTTGTGGCAACATACGAATTCCTGAAAGAAAATAGGTTTTCATGAAAGAGTTGTTTCACACGGCAGCTCACACACACACACACACACACACACACACACACACACACACACACACACACACACACAGAGCTGTAATCACAAAGACACACATTCATTCACAGATGGAGCGGGCCGAGCGGCGGAGGGAGAGCCGTTCAGTTCATCTTAATCAGCAGGGGAACCCCCCCCCCAACACATCCCACAGACGCTCACTCCCTGCTGCTGCAACCTTGATAAGTGTGTGTCAGTCTTCTGTAAACACACACACACACACACACACAGAAACACTTTACCTGAGATGATGGACGCGTGTCGGTATTCCTCTGAGAAATGGATCGGCTCGTACGGAGACGTCTCATAAAACTCCTCCCCTGAAATACAACAGAAGACACAAGTGTTCAGCCAGTACACACACACACACACACACACACACACACACACAGCAGCAGCTTTGTCTGTGCTGCCAGGTACACACCTGACCATCTGGCTCCACCTGGAAACTACCTTCAAAGTCAAATTGTCCGTGCTGCCGTGTAAAGAGCTTCCAGCAGCAGGAATCCATTTTATTTCACTTTCCAAAAACACGTCGAGAGCTGCAGGGAAATTATCAGAGTGGAGCTGAATCTTATTTTCATTATTTTATATTTCACAGTTTTACTTTAATTTTCTGGAAACCTCCAGTTCCAACAGCTGCAGCGGCTCGACCCCGAAACACAGCGACATAAAGCAGAAGAAGAAGAAGAAGAAGAAGAAGGTTACAGAGCTTCGTACACGGTATCAGCTTCAGCGTGACTTCTACTGTCTGATGACATCATCACCTCTGAGCTACGTCACCAGTTCACCTCATCAAATCCAGAAAGTGTTTAAGTTTCCTTCAGCGTCAGTGTGATCCACTGACAGCTGTCTGAACATCCATGTGCTCACGGCTAACAGCTGATTCAGCTCGTTTCTAATCAGGACAATTTACCTGACAGATGTCTCTGTCCTTTTCTGTCCCTACACTTTACACAACATTTACACTCCGTTTATATTTCAAAGTGAATCTATGTAATATGTTATTTGAACAGTTACACTTTCTTAAGCCATCAATTTGGCAATATTTTTTTGTTTTTCTTTAATCAATTATATAAAATTCCAAGTGCAGAAATGAGCGGGAAACCAAAAACTAATTAGTGTTAACGTGTTTCATTTGACCTTCGTATCGTCTTCTTGTCGACCGCGAGACTTTTGTTTCTGTTTGACCTTTAATAAAACATCAAGTATGAAATTATTACCCAATAACTTCATTCCAACTTTTCCACTGTCTTTTGAATTTTTATGGTCAATCAACCTCATTTACATAAAAACACACTTCGATTCAGAGTAAAAGAAAAACAGCAGAGATGATTTTGAGCGAGTTACAGTCAGAGGAACGTGTTGATGGATCGTCACTGACACAGACTATAAGTCAGAGTTTAGTCAGATACTGTTTTGTAGACGACCACAGATCATATGAATTTGAATAAAACACCCAAAATTGAATGAAAATCATTAATTATATTTGCAGAAAGTGCAGTAAGGAAAAACCCAGGTTATTTTCAGGCGATTACGTGAAAGAAAAACAGATTTCTGAAACAAAAACATTTGAGAACGAGTCGAATTTGAGCCAAGGACGACAGGAGGGTTTATTATCACACATAACACATCTGCACTATTCTATCTATTCTACATTTCGCTTGTTTTGCAAACCACAAGCTGATGTGTATGAGAAGCAGCTACAATAAGACACAGTAGAAATCAGGGCTGAGTTAAAGTGGAGAGACCGTTCTCTGTTCTCCTGACTAAAATAAAAACCAGCAGATTCTCTCTTCTCCCTATTTGGTGCCATTAGAGACCAGAGAAGTCATGTGATGCGACAGCAAAAACAACAGTGGCACATCTTTCAGTCTCGACTGTGATCTCAAAAGATTTCCAGTGTGCTCGCTCAGAGGAATCTGTCTTTTAAACAGGAAGTGCGTGAGGCGCGGCTCTCTTCGCTCCTCCTGTTTCCTGAGCTTCAGCCACTGAAGGTTTGTGTGCGACTGCCAGGAAACACTGACGCTCCTCGGCCACGATCAAGGACGACAAACGAAAGCAATCACTGGGAGGGAAGCGAGGAGCGGCGCCGAGCGAAACAGTCACCATTAAATGAGTTCACACACACACACACACACACACACACACACACACACAGCCATTTTGTTTTCAGGTTGTTCGTCTCAGTCTCACCTTGACAGAACTTCTTCAGGTCTGATAGTTTCACTACGTCCACGAGGATGGGACGGACGGACGGACGGACGGACGGACGGACGGACGGACGGACGGACGGACAACCTGAGAACAAAATGGCTGCCGCTCTGGCTGTTGCCGGCGTGGAGGAATGAAAACACACTGACATCTACTACTTCCTCCTTATCAGTCCCTGAGACCCCCCCACACTTGGACTTGTGCTGCTTCTGGGCAGCAGAGTAAAAGACCAAGTCTGTCTGTCCCTCCGTCCGTCCTGCAGATTAAACTCGTCCTCTCATCGTGTCTGTCGGCTGCTGCAGCCACGAGACAAACAACGCCAGGAGAAGACTAAATGTCACTTCAGGACAATCCTGCAACAGAAGGAGACAGTGGGGGGGGGGGGGGGGGTTTCACCTCTGGGTGACTGTTTACTGTTAAACAGTCACCCAGAGGCTTCAGACCAGCCACACACCTGAGGCTGTGACAGGTACAGTGGGACTGACTGTAGTGAGTCATCGTCTGTCTTCACTCCTTCACACAGAGACATGCAGCCTGTCCAACATGTCCCCGACATGGACACAGCTGCTTCACACACCTGGTGACGTTCTTCACCTGCAGCCGTCTGAACGCGGCTCCACAAATACTAAATGTGGCGTTGGAGCACGAGCTTAGCATCGCCTCGACAGCAGCTGATCAAAGAGCTTGTTTTCTTTTTTACCTTTAACAGGACATGGACTGAGGATTACGGTAGATTGCTCCCAACAGCCAACAGTTCCTTTATCCTGCAGGTAAACACTCAGCAGAGAGGAGCTTATTCACGCTGCATTCACAGGCGGCGTGACATTTTCACTGGCATCTCCGGGAACACGCTGCGCCGTGCCAGCATCTCCAAACTAACAACTTCTGCTCATTTGGTGTCTTGTCTTTAATCTTAGCGCCACACATTTACATGCCAAAAGAAAAAAAAAGTCTACTGCTGATTTACTCCGTTTCAACACGGCCTTAAAATTTCTCTGCAGTCTCTCCCTCGCCACCCGTGAGCATTTGTCTGGCATTTAGCGGCGCCGCTCCCTCCCGCCGCTCCTCTGGCACGACTCCCGCCTATAGTTAGAGAGCTGAGATCATCGTGTCCCGGAGAGTTTCGACTCATTTACTGTTACAGAGTGAAATAACACTATAACACCAGAGATAAACAAGGCGAGCGGAGCGACACATAAACGCATCACCGGAGGAGCAGCACGGCTCTCCTGCGTTACACCTGAACCGTTCACACTGACACACACCTCCTGCATGTGACGGATGTGTGGACTCCTCCACAGGAAGGATTTCTGATCAGGGTTTTTAAGTAGGAAGCTCTCTAAATAAATGCTGGATGTGAAGCAGACTGGGTGTATTTTGGGCAGGCGGGGTAATGTCCATAGATTGGTGCTGAGGGGAGATGAAAGGAATACTAAAGACAGGCAGAGGTATCGGTGGAAAGTGGCGCTCTCTGTCTGCAATTACTGGCAGGAGGAGCTGCTCCCTGCATCTTTATCACAAGGAGACGCAGCAGAGGAGACGCAGCAGAGGAGACGCAGCAGAAGAGACGCAGCAGAGGAGACGCAGCACAGGAGACGCAGCAGAGGAGACGCAGCAGAGGAGAGTTGCTGCACCTCCCATCAAACCTGCCACAGCTCACACCACATCCTGCTCTGTGTGGGGAGGAGGGAGGGTGGCGGATGGATGGAGGTTTGTACTCCTCCTGACCTCCACCTGAACAAATCAGTCTATGCTGAACATTAACCACACTGTTACTGGTAACCAGGTGGTAACCAGACAGAAACCAAGTGGTAAATAGGTGTTAACCAGATGGAAACCAGGTGGTAACCAGGTGGTAACCAGGTGCAACCAGATGGTAACCAGGTGTAACTAGGTGGTAACCAGATGGTAACCAGATGGAAACCAGGTGGTAACCAGGTGGTAACAAGGTGGAAACTAGGTGGTAACCAGATAGAAACCAGGTGTTAACCAGATGGAAACCAGATGGTAACCAGGTGTAACTAGGTGGAAACTAGGTGGTAACCAGGTGGTAACAAGGTGGAAACCAGGTGGTTCATTAATGATGAGACAGAAGGTGATAAACGTCTGTGCAGCTCGAGAGATGAAGACCGAGACATTTTTTCTGTCCTCACAGATATTTGTCAGGACTCTGGGACAGTCCTGGACAAACNCACAAGGAGACGCAGCACAGGAGACGCAGCAGAGGAGACGCAGCAGAGGAGAGTTGCTGCACCTCCCATCAAACCCGCCACAGCTCACACCACATCCTGCTCTGTGTGGGGAGGAGGGAGGGTGGGGGATGGATGGAGGTTTGTACTCCTCCTGACCTCCACCTGAACAAATCAGTCTATGCTGAACATTAACCACACTGTTACTGGTAACCAGGTGGTAACCAGACAGAAACCAAGTGGTAAATAGGTGTTAACCAGATGGAAACCAGGTGGTAACCAGGTGGTAACCAGGTGGTAACCAGGTGCAACCAGATGGTAACCAGATGGAAACTAGGTGGTAACCAGATGGAAACCAGGTGGTAACCAGGTGGTAACCAGGTGCAACCAGATGGTAACCAGGTGTAACTAGGTGGAAACCAGATGGTAACCAGATGGTAACCAGATGGAAACTAGGTGGTAACCAGATGGAAACCAGGTGGTAACCAGGTGCAACCAGATGGTAACCAGGTGTAACTAGGTGGTAACCAGATGGTAACCAGATGGAAACCAGGTGGTAACCAGGTGGTAACAAGGTGGAAACTAGGTGGTAACCAGATAGAAACCAGGTGTTAACCAGATGGAAACCAGATGGTAACCAGGTGTAACTAGGTGGAAACTAGGTGGTAACCAGGTGGTAACAAGGTGGAAACCAGGTGGTTCATTAATGATGAGACAGAAGGTGATAAACGTCTGTGCAGCTCGAGAGATGAAGACCGAGACATTTTTTCTGTCCTCACAGATATTTGTCAGGACTCTGGGACAGTCCTGGACAAACCGGGACGTCTCTTCACATGACCCTGAACAAACAACCTACAGACACACTGAATTATTCTTCAGCTCTTTCTGCTGAGTCACATGATTTCCTCACGACCCAG